AAAAAAAAAAAAAAAAAAAAAAAAAAAAATCAATCACTGGAGCTGACTAGCAGAATCCTGAGAACCTCCATCCTCAAGTCTTATCTTTATCTGACCTAACTCACACCACTCGCTGAACTAAAGCTGGTTCGCAGAGCATTTGCAAAAAGCACTCAGCAGCAAATGCTATAGATCACAGCAGCCTGATATTAGTAGCTGGAGCTATCAAGAGACTAAATGGAAAAGCTGGAAGAGATGTTTATAGGCACAGTGAAAAGCATTCAAATGACCAAGCATATATGCAGGGACAGGTACACACACCCAGAGCCATGCAGAGCCCAAAAAGACCAGAAAAGGTGCTACACACTCAACTCTGGCCAACCTAACGGCTCTGGGCAAGGAGAAGGAAAAGGCTGAGACAGTGTAGCTAATGGTGAAAGATATCACACATTGGTCATGTAGTGAATGATTCCATTACATAAAAGATTCAGAAAAGAAAAATCAGAGCAATAGAAAGTAGGCTAGTGACCACCACAGGATGGGGGTGGGGAGGTATATGCAAAGTGACTAATAATAGATGTTAGAATCAGCTAGTGGTTGTACAACTTGTGAAAATACTGAAACCTTATTAAACTTTATGCATTAAAAGTGTGAATTTTGGGGGCCAGGGAGATGGCTCAGTAGAATAAGTGCTTCCCTGGCAAGCGCAAGGGTGTGGGTGCAATCCCCGGTTCCACAAAAAAAAAAAAAGTGTGAATTTTTGATACGTATAGTGTCTTAATAAAGTCATATAAAATTAAAGGCTTCAATCTGCTCTGTAACAGATCAGAACCAAAAAATTAATATCTTTGTCTTTTTGAAATAAGGTCTCACTATGCAGTTCAGGCTAGGATTGAACTCACTTTGTAACACAGGCTGACCTTGAACCTGCCATGATTCTCCTGCCTCAGTCTCCCAGTGCTGGTATTCCAGGTATGCACCACCACACCTGGCTCCAACAGATAGCTATCTTACTTCCTCTATAGTTTCAACTTTTTGAAAATGTTTTGAAGAATTAGTTACTATGAACAAGAAAGTGAAGCCTGCATACAACATTTATTTATAAAAATCTAGAGTATATTTATAGCTGTTGGCTTTATTCAACTTCTCAAAATTTCTTCTAGTTATGCTCTTATAAGTAATTTTAGGTGGAGTTTAAAGGTCTTTTTGAATGAGTTTCTTCCCATTTACAAATTTTTTTTTGGTATATTTATTAGGGAAGGGTCTACAGGATACTCAGGGTCTCACTACTAGATCAGATGTAGTGATCTGCCTGTTTATAGCCTCCCAAGAGCTAGAATTACAGGCGTGCGCCACCAAGACTAGTCTCAATTGACATCTCAGCACACCCTGGGGGCAGGGCTGGCACAGCAGGCCCGGGGATCAAACCCCCCAGCCCCTGAGCCTGTTTGCAGGTACTCTAATCCACTGAGCTATTTGGCCAGCCCTCCCATTTACAAATATTTACCACAGAAAAATAATTGCTAACACAATCCAGGGTTCACTGTAGAAAACACAAAGAATAAAAATTATTCATAATGTCATCTATAGACAATTATTACTAACATGTTGTACAGCCTCCAGTCTTACATTTCTTTTTAAATGTTAGCATAATAAAATAACTCAAAACTACCTGAAATTAAAATACTTATTCAATGCCACAAATGCCAAAATACACTTACAGTTCGTTCTCCAGTAATGGTAAGATTTGTTCCATTCTCCTTAGCCTTTAAACATGACAAAAAAGAAAATTAATTCAGAATAATTTATTTTACTCTTAGAAATACATAAGGAAAGTAATTACCTCCTGTCTTTCTCCTACAAGAGGCAGCCGATGCACTGACTCCCCTGAAAAACTCTACAAAACAAACATAAAACTAAATTAAAGATGTATAAATAGTAAAAGCACAGTTCAAAATCCTCAGAAATGGGCCAAGGAGATAGCTCAGTGGCATAAGCACCTGCCTGATAAGTACAAGGTCCCAAGTTCAATCACCAGTACAAAAAAAAACAAAACAAAACACCCAGAACTGGTTAAAGCAAAACATAATCCCATAATAGTTTATAAAGTAATACAGCATCAGCAGAAAAGATTCCCCATTAACCACAAAGTGAGTGAATAAAACTTTAAGAACTTAAAAAAAATTTTTTTTTTACCAGATAAGCCTAACAATATTTATGAACAATAAAAACCTAAGATCATAATATATGCTTAGGATGGAAGACCTTAGAAAATCTCTACTCAAGGGTGCTGGGGAGATGACTCAATAGAATAAGTGCTTCTATGGCAAGCGCAAGGCCCTGAGTTCAATCCCAGTTCTGCTAAAAAAAAGAGAAAATCTCTACTCAAATGGATTTGAGCCTAGCTCTTGACTTGTAAGTCCACTATTCTTCCCATAACACACTGTGTGGTTGTAAAAAAAGTTACACTAACGACTCCTGTTTGCCTTGACTTATTAGGTTATGTAATTCAACTCTCTGTAGACTGCGGGAGAGTAACCCTTACTAATGGGGCAGAGTTTACTATGACTCTGGAAAGATTACAACTGATCTAAAGGAGAGAAGCTCATACAGTAAAACGCAACAGATCACTTTCCATAATCACATCTAATAAAGACCAACCAGTTCTCCTTGCCCATGCATTATTCAAAGAACAAACAGAAACATACAAACTATTCAAAATTGTACTGCTTCTAGTTTTCTTCTTCCACTCTTCTACCATTTTAAAGCTATTTTTTCCTCTCTAATTTCACAAAATCTAAGCTATGACAATAAGCAAACTCGTAACTCAATGATCAATTACTTTATTTGGGGCTGGGGAGACAGCTTGGCAGCCTAAGTGCCTGCCTTGCAAGTGCAAGATCCCAAGGTCAATCCCCAGGACTATGTGTATGATGGTGCATGCCTGTAATCCCAGCACTGGGGAGGCTGAGACAGGGAGATCACTACAATTCTGAACTGCATAGTGAGATCCTGTACCAAAAAATAAGAAAAATAATTTTAAAAAAGGAAAGAAAAAATTTATTTTATTTGGCTAACAATTAACAATTATTTTTAAGATAGATAGATAGATATATATATATATATTACTTATAGTGGTGAACAGAAAACTTAGCTTTCAGGGAACTTCTTGCCACTTCAAAGCAACTTACTGAATATTCCAAAGTGCTTTTTAACCCTATACTGCAGATTGAACCCAGAGACACACATAATGGGCAAGTACTCTACCAAGCTATATCCACAGCTCTTTTTCCTTTTCTCTTTTTCTTTAATTTTACTTTAAGATAAGGTCTTGCTAAGTTGCCCAGGCTGATTTCAAAATTGCAATCCTCTTAACTCAGGCTTCTGAGTAGCTGGGATCAATGTATGCTGCTATGCCCAGGTCCAAAGCAATTTTTAAATACCATAAAGACAAATTAACTATTTCACTACCTATAAAAATCTTTCCATCAAAAAAATTGGTGTTAGATCCTGTTATTGAGAACTAAATTTCATATCAGAAACTATACAAAATTATGTATGCAAGTATTAAAAAATATTCTCTTCTTTTTCCAAAGTAGGTGTGAAATTCAACCCCGAAGCAAGGATATCTTTTTCACTTTAGGTATATAATGGCAAAACCTAAAAACCCTAACTTTTCTAGGGATATACTAGTTAGATGTGACCAAAGAATTCAAAATTTGAGGCACTAAATGTCCATCATCCAAAGAAAGGATAAGTAAATATGATGTATACAAGTAATGGAATATAATTCAGCTTAAATGGAAATAAAATACTATAACATAGCTGAATCTTAAAAACATTAAATAAAATAACTCAATAAAAACTGTGATTCTATGTCTTTAAGGTATCTGAACACTCAAGTGGTTACAAGATACTGACAGTGAATGTGAGTGATTATTTAATAGGTACACAGTTTCAATTTGAGTGATGAAAGCTCTGGACATGGATGGTGGTTATAGCTGCACAACAATGTGAATGTAGTACTTAAATGTCACTGAATTATATGTCAAATTTACATTAAAAGGTTACAGATATTTTATAACAATAAAAAAATTGCTTCTCAGCCTTTTGGCTAAGATCAAGTATATAACAATAAAAAAGCCTGGAGTTTGTTTACACCCAAAGGAAAGAAAGTACATACTCTCTTAATAAGATGAATATGCAAGTGGCTGACTATGCACTTATAAGCATAGAATTCTAACTCATTTCTTCTTAATTAGCAGAGAAATAGATACATGAGAAAATACAAACAATTATATTTTTTAACCTCTTAAATTTTCCTCCAGGGATGGGGAGAAAGCTCAGCGGCATAAGCACCTGCCTGGCAAGTACAACATCATGAATTCAATCCCCAGTACCTTAAAAAAAAAAAAAAAATCCCTCCAAACAATTTCAAAGATTACCTGTGTTTTAAAGAGTTCACTGCAGTTTTGGAACAATTTTGATGAAGTTTGGTATTTACCAGACAAGTCTCTTTTTTCCTTAAGTTTTTCCAAATATGTCTCTACCTCTTCTGCCTGGGAGAAAAAGAAAAATATAAAATATTTTACTTACCAATCCCAGATAAGATATGAAAACACTAGCAAACTAAGCAGTGCTGGTACAAATGTAATTCTGAGTCTGCTATTTCAAAAGTTAATGGCAAAAAAAAAAAAAAAAAAAAAAAGTTAATGGCAGGGCATAATGGTGCATGTCTCTATTCCCAGCTCTTGGGAGGCTGAGGGAAAAGGATTGTTGTGAGTTCAAGACCCGCCTGGGCTACAACGTGAGCTCAAGGCCAGTCTTAGCTGCATAGCAAAAACCTGTCTCAAAAAGACCAACACCAAAAAAATTTTAAAAAAAGACCAACACCAACAACAAAAAGTTAATAGATTTAAGCCATGAGTAGTTGCACAAATCTGCAAATACAGCTACTCAGGAGGCTGGGACAGGAAGACTATAAATTTAAGGCCAGCCTGGGCAACACAGTAAAATTTTTTTTTTTCTGTTTTGTTTTGTTTTTTTTTTTTAAAGCCCACCACATTTCTTGTTTTTAATAGCATTTAGTTACATCATTTATAATGGCATTTGTTTATAAAAGAAATTAAGACTAGTTAGTAACTTAGTTTGGGCTTTCTTTTAAAATTGACAACAGGGGAACTAGTTAAGAGTTCACAAACAATATTTCTGCATGATATGCTGACCCTAAACCCAAAGGATAATACCCCATGTCAATCTTATACAGTACAAATATGAATTTCTTAAGCTAATGATTAACTTTTAAAAATCCTATTTTTTTAAAGTAAATACTAGAAATAGCTCTTGAAAGCTAACTATAGATGGTATTCTCAGCCCAACTTGTTGGGGTGGAGCCTTATTTTATGTGACTATGAAATTTATTTATTTATTTATTTATTTATTTTGTGGTACCAGGGATTGAACTCAGGACCTTGGACTTGCCAGGCAAGTGCTTATTCTACTGAGCTATCTCCCTGGCCCCTGACTATCAAATTTAGAGCTAAAAACCAAATGGTGTCACAAAAAAGTTATAATCATGGGCAGCACAATCAATTCCTCAAACGATGTAGCTTCCAAGCGTCCATCATCCTGATTCCTCTTCTCTTTGCTTTCACTTACATACTTTCTTAAGGAAGCAAAAAATATGTAAATTCACCAAAATTCCAAAAGTCAGTTTGTACAGTGAATGAGAGTAGCTGTGGCCTTTGGAATTGCAGTCACTTCCACCACAGATACTTTCTTTGTTCTGGGTCAAGGCGCGATAAAACAGGAAGAATAAGATTCCCAAATGCAGAGTCTTGAGTTATGAAGTATCCAGACGAATGTGCATGAGCATGTTGCCAAGCTGCCTTCTGCTGGGCTACAATATGCTGCTGCCTGGCATGATCCCAGAAGTCGTTGTTCAGATAGGGCTTGGTGAGAGCAATGCTAGCTCCTGGATGATTTGCAGAAGACTGGTTCTGCATAAGTAATTTTCTGTTTTCTTTGTCCAGCTCTGCTAAGATTGCAACTCTATTTTTGTTTTGAAAATCTTGTCCTGAAGAGTTTGCTGACATCTTATTTTGCTTCAGTTGTGCTCTGTAGCAACTGATCAGCTCTTTACCATTACCTAGGATGCGAGGGCACCCTGGGGTCTCACTGGAGAACCCAGACTGTCCAGGCAGCTGCATTATAGCACAGGTAAAAGCAACGCCACTGCTGCACTACCACCTTCCCACCTTGCTGTGCTTCCGACTCCTAACACACACACACAGTAAAAAGGAGTGGGGATATGGCTCCTTGCTTCCTAGGTTCAATTACCAGCACCATAAAAAAAAATAATAATAAAAACAATCAGAAAAAGGTTATAATCATATCTAACACTTAACATTAGTAAAACTAAATTGCAGAAGTTTTGTCTTTAGCTCATAAAGGACAGTAATTCCAGGAACACTGGGAGACTGGCAGAGACCAGAAGGTTTTGGTCACATGAAAACAGTTAAAAGGTACCTGTCATACTCACAGGCTTCAACACTGCATGGTTTCTCTTATACAAGATGCCTGGGGTATATATAAACTAAAGCACAAAATAAAAGATGATAGAAAAAGGGGCAGATATTCTGCAAATGAGAAACAAAACAAGAAATAGAGGGAAAAGGAGGTGGGAAGTAAAAAGAACTAAGATGTGTTATATAGGTATCAACTGCACGATGAATGTCATTATGTACTACAAACACATACTAATAAAAGTTACCTAACCTACACCAACAGAAAGATATTTGTGTTCATAATTTAAGACAGTACAAAACTGTTGCAAGCCATTCATAGCACAAAACCTGATTTCTGTGACTTCTATCTGTTCTGAGATTTTTCTGATACCTACATCTCTGATCTTACCCTCATTAGAAAAAACTCCAGTCCTACATCCCACTTTCTGTGCATCACCTCCACACTTTATCCTGCACCCAAAATAACTTCCTACAAAGAGAGGATCTGCTAAGTGCTTGACCTAGTTTCAAATGGCATGAACCCTTTACTATACATTCAACTGGTAAACAAGTGAAAAAGATCAAGGATACCTCAAACCATATTGATTTCTAAATTTTTCAGTCTTTTTCATTTTTACCATATTGATCGAACACAATGTTTATAACAAAAGCAAATGAAAAATATCTATATTTTTAAAAATGAAAAAACCTAAGCAGAAAGTCAAAATGTTTACTTTGAGTTTTCTTTCTTTTTTTTTTTTTTTTTTTTTTTTGAGGTTTAAACTTCTAGGTCCACTCCTTATTAGCAGTGACACTTTAAGATGACAAAACACATGTTTATTTTGGAGACATTTTTTTGAGTTTTTTTCTTTAAAGACCAAATTATATTTTAAAGAAATTTCAATAGGAAAAATTGGGAGGAAGGGGGATGACACAAATGGTAAATACCAGGTTGGAAACAGAATGAAAAAAAAAGCCTAATTCAAGTATTACACACTAGAGCAACTCTCAAAGGATGGTCTTTCATAAAATGCAAAAGGTCAAAACTATCTGCCTTGCAATGACGGCACCACAGTGAATAAAATCATTGCCCCTTATGAGGAACAAGCCAGGGATATAGCTGAGCAGCACAAGCACCTGCCTGGCAAGCACAAGGTCCTGAGTTCGATCCCTAGTACCACAAAAAAAAAACAAAACCTTATGAGGAATTAAGGGGGTGGCAAGAAACCAAACTAGTAGTTCTATTCCTCAAGTTATAAGCTCAGAGGGGGAGAAAATCAGTTTTATAATAGAATATCCTTGGTGAAATGGCAAAAATTAGTAATGGTATTAAAATCTAGATATGTAGCAATGCCACTTTTAGTAATCTTACATGGCAAAATGGGACTTAGCAACTGTTTTGTTGCATAACTAAACTAGCCACTTTGTTTTATTTGAAAGAATGACACACTGAAGTTATCAGACTTGGTTATTCCCCTGAAATTGAGCTGCAACTTCAAGGATGAAAACAGGTACAACACTACAGTAACCTATGATAAAATCTGAGTCGTCAAGCAAAAACTGGAATTTTGGAGAACTTTTATGTCATTGACTAAATGGCTTTTAACACTCAAGAAACTACCAATGAGATAGTGAGGAGAATAAAGTGGGAGTTTTAAACATAATTTAGATTTTAATGCAAAATAACTAATATTTTAAAGATTTATATAATGATGCCAACAAATGTTTTTCTAAATGATCAATGAATGCTATAAAAATCATGTAGCTAAATGACTCATTCAAAGTTCAAGACATGTCAGTGCATTTTATATTACAGAATGGTAAAGTTTATTAATATGACTTTAGATTCTGTAGTTCGTCTAGTTACCCTAAACAAACCTGAAAACATGATACTCTATATTTCAACCTTTAAGAAATTACCACTTCTTGAGTTTTGATATAGAAACAAAGAATATCTCCCAATTACCTGAAAAGATAATTAAAGTACCATTTCTTTTTGTAACTGTACAACAGCATGAAGTCAAATTTTTAACATAAACTTTAACCAAAACAATGTTATCGGGCTGGGGAGATGGCTCAGTAGACTAAGCGCTTGCCTGGCAAGCGCAAGGGCCTAAGTTCAAACCCCAGTTCTGCAAAAATAAATAAATACATAAATAAAACCAAAAAAACAATGCTATCACAACAGACTGAGTAAAAAATGATTTACTATAAGAACCTGTTTTATTATGCCACATCATAGAGACCTACAAAAGTTTAAAACATTACCTTTCTATGTCTTTTAAACAAATTTTCATTTATATATATCTATATTAATATGTAATGAACTTATTAGTGCTACTTTCAAATATGCACCCCCCTTTTAATTTCTAAAAGAGAAACCCACATGAAGAAATGCTTTTTGGAAGGGAATGAGTTCAATCCCTGGTTCCACAAAAAAAAAAAAATGCTTTTTGGGAATCTAAAGTAATTTTTTTTTTTTGTGGTACTGGGACTCAAACTCAGAACCTTGCCCCTGTCAGGCACACTTAAGCCGCTGAGCTATCTCTCTGGCCCCAACTACTTTTTAAGAATGTAAAAGTTATGTCAGTTGTGGTGGTACACACCTATAATCCCAGCATAGAGGCTGAGGCAGGAGGACTACCACAGAGTTTGAGGCCTGCCTGGGCTACACAGTGACTTCAAGATTAGCCTCAAATGCACAGTGTAACCCTGCCTCAAAAAAAGAAACAGTTCTGAGATCAAGTTTGAGAAACAGAGACACAGACTGCAAGCTGAGACACACAGGATGTAGAGTTTTGCTCGTCTGTAACTATATAATACCCTTTCCTCTATAAAGAGATTGGGACCAGACGATCTATAAGGTCCACACAGTCTGTAGGATTTTATTGTTGTTTTAACTGTTGAGACAGTCTCACTACATAGTTCAGGTTGATCTTGACCTCACTACATAGTCCAGGAAAACCTCAAACTCAAGGCAACCCTCCAGCTTCAGCCTCCTGAATACTGGGACCACAGGATGCAATACCAGGCCCAGTAAGTCTGAAGTTTTATGTTCCTTACCTTAAAATTGTAGATTTCATTATAACAGTCAGCACTTTTCAGAAACCAAGTTATATTCAAAGACTGATCACAAGGTTCTCCATCAACTACAAAAGAAATCATTGTGAATAAAGATTACCAAACAAAGCATTTTTTCTTAGGAGCAGTTCCCTATTAGACTTTTTTTTTTTTTTTTTTTTTTTGGCAGAACCGGGGATTGAACTCAAGCTCTTACACTTGCCAGGCAAGCACTTAATCTACTGAGCTATCTCCCCAGCTCCCTACTAGACTTTATCCTAGTTATTTTCTAACCTAAGATACTGAAAGACCCTCCTTTATCCAAACATAAGGAAAGTAATATTTTTCAGATAAAAGTATTGTTCATGGAGTAGCAAAGCAGTTCTACTTCTGCCTTACAACTTCAATGTTTAGATCTCCATTAGGAACAGCCTTGAAGTAATAAATCAGTCTAAATTAAAAGCAGTCTTATACTATTCAATACTTATTGAGCACAGCATAAAGATACAACAGCACAGAGTTGGACCAAAGAGGGAAATGGGGAGGAACAAATTATTAAAGTTCTGTTAAAAGGCTACTCTCCAATTGAAAAGAAAGACCACAAATATCAGGAATGTCACAAGGCAAAATTCATGGTGGTACAAATAATACTTCCACTGAGGTAAAAATCCAGAGTTTGATCTTGAATGACATCTAGATAGAGCAATGAACAAAATAGCCAACATGGCTAAGTAAGGTAGAAATAACAAAACCAAAGAGAAAGAAAATCAGACTTTTCAAAGTTTACCTTAAGAAAAGCCTTATAAAAGTGTGAAAGCTGCACATAACTCTTTAAAGTATAGACTGGAACACAATAGCCTAATGGATCAAGGCATTAGGCAGGGGTGTGGGGTGTAGGTCAGTGGTAGAGGCTTGCCCAGCATGTGTGCAGCCCTGGATTCAATCCCTAGCACTGGAAGAAATTTTAGAAGACATTAGTTTGAAAACTTGAGAATGTAAATCTGACTACTGACTGGTTGTCTTAGCTGGAGAAAATCAGCATTCATTTTCTTATCCATTCAAACTGTAGAAGGGAGAACATACGAAAGACTCCCTATCTCATGCAAATGTAACATAAGTAACCCTGACTGAACTTAGGTATCTACTTTGGTTTCACAGCAAAAGAAGCAATCCAATTATAAGCTTCCCCTTTTCTTGGTTTAAATTGTTTTTTCAAACTATTTTTATTTATTTTGGCTTTCTGAGATAGTTCAGGTTGGCCTTGAGCTCAGCAATTCTCCTGATTCAGCCTCCTGAGTACAAAAATTACAAGAAAATGCCACCAGGAAAAAAAAAAAAAAAAAAAAATGCCACCAGGCCCAGCTTTCAAGCTAATTTTTAAATGACTAACGCATTTTCACAGGACTGCCAGAATATGAAAAATTATGACCTCTTTTGTAGAATTTATGGAGATTATATATGATACTACAATCTGATTATATACTACCAGGAAGAAATCATAGAGAGATAAAGCTAATTATATGTCAAGAGCATCCCCTCAACAAAAGATACACAAAGGAATTTAGCTACAAAAATATTGTTTACTAGTTAATTTAGTTTATCTTAGTTAAAAGATAACTAAGACAAAGTTAAGAACTTTGAATGGAAGTCCTCAAGAGACAATGTTTGTTCCTGCCTATGCTCACAAGCTGTATACACTATACCCACAAAAGCATAAAATCAGAACACGTAAATAAGAGCACACACACAACAAAGATAAAAATGTAAATTTTAAGGAGCCTCAAATCCTCCAAAAACAATAAAATGTGTTGCATATAAAAATATGCAATCTGTTTAACTGCGTAAAATACCACTAGAAAGACAAGTTAGAAAGACTACCCATAATAAAAAAGAACAGGCTGTTGGAAGTTCCCATCATTAAGTAACTACTCTTACCCAGTAAACCAATTTCACAAGAAAGGCTAATGTGTCATAGAAGACTGTTTAATCAGTTAGATTATATTTTCATGGATGTAGAAATTCTACTGGCTCCTTAAACCTCATTACAAATGCAAGATTAATGAAAAAAATTTTTCTATAAATATAGTACCCAGGGCCAGGGAGATAGTTCAGTGGCTTAGGTGCCTGTTGGGCAAACACAAGGTCCTGAGTTTGATCCCCCATACCAAAAAAATAAAATAAAATACCCAAACCAGGCATGGTAGCACATGCCTATAGTCCCTGATCTTAGGCGGCTGAGGCAGGAAGATCGTAGCAAATTCGAAGCCAGCTTGGGCTACACAGTAAGTTCAAGGTCAGCCTGAACTACTTAAGTAAGACTCTCCAAAACAAAAAAAAAGGCTAAAAAAAAAAAAAAAAAAAAAAAAAAAAAAAGCCCACCACAGGTATTTAACCACTATTTACTAAACAAATAAAAGAAGAAGGTCTTTCCACTATGATTTATAACTGTGCACTTTCAAGGAGAGAGGTATGTTTAGAAGCACACATCAGTGATCTGGATTTTTATCCTTCATTTCAACACAGAGCTTCCCATAACCATTTCCTGTATTAAATAAGGCCAGTTTCAAAACTAGAAGCTCTAAAAAAAATAAACAATGGGATAAAAAATAAACAATGGGACAGCTTATATTGTGCCACTAGACAAACTGATTTATTCCTATATAATTCCAATTTCCTGGTAACATCCTTAAACTTCAGTGGGGTGAAATACTCCTTTGGTAAATAAAACATCTACTGAATATATTTGTTCTGACTCAATGGTCTAACAGTTAGGGCATGTTCTCAATAAGCAGCTAACAACCATTCAAGAATTAAAATCAGTGGTACCTATTACAACCCAGAAGAGATTAAAACACCATTCTGATAATTAATCAATGCACTAAATGTAATTCAACCATAACATGACTAAACACATAATTAATGTATATAAATATGGTGTGTATATAGATCCCAACGAAAAAATTTATACACACTCCAGGAAAACAAAAATAGTATGATGTTTTTTCCATGATATGGGAGTTGATATCAAAGAAAACTCCAGACTGCCAGCCCTTAAAGAAAATTTTTTTCATTAATTGTTTTTATTTGCAGGAGTTGAAACAAATTTTAAGAGTGTTTTTCTTTTACTCTTCAATATGAATCAGTCAGGTAAAACCAACTTAACTATAGAAATGTAGCAAAATGAGGGGAAAGCACAACCCAAGAAGCAAAGGCTAGGGGGAAGAGGTTATAGTCCACATAGAAATTGAAATGGCATGCTGAGCAATCTTGATGACAAAGCCTACACAAGCAACAGTTCCCCATACTAACAAATGTCTAGATGCTAATGGCCACACCACTTTGAGCCCTTCTTGTATTGTAGAGGTCAAAAGTAATGTGAATTAATCTCATGTCTCAAATTTGGCATTAAAATATTTATACAAGTTTTTCTTTTCCTGATGTACATGTTTTTTGGTGGACTCTGTTATGGCTTGTGTTTAGATGTCCTCTCAAAGCCTCATGCTGTTACAGGTGGAGCTTTTGCAGAGGTGGGTGGATCCAGAGTGGGTGACACTGAAAATGATTTATGGTGCTGTGGTAGGATCAAAGGCATTAGTATTAAGGATGTGAGTGCTACCCACTATAAGAAGCCTGGACAAGATATAAGGGATAGAAAAAGCTGTGGTCATCCACTGCTGCCTTGCTACCTTCTGCCTGCCATGAACTATTTCTTCTCTATGATGCCATCCTACCTTGGGGCCAAATGATTATGGATTGAAACTTCCACAAACTGTGAGCTAAATAAACCTTTTCTCTTTTAACTTTGAGTGGTGGGCATTTTGTCTCAACAATGAAAAAAGTAAGACACTATATGCACATACACTATACAGTATTATATTTTCAACACACAATAAACTATATAAAGGAAGTATATTATGTCTAGTACATGTAATGTATACAAAATTAATATATTCTAGATTATCTACAGTGTGTACATATGTAATGGACAGCAAACTAAAAAGGGAAGAAAATAAAATTCATACAAGTATTCTATTTATCAATGAAAGGGTCTGAGGTTTAATAAATGTTTATACCTAGATGATGCTGGATGACAAGATTATCTGAGTTAGTAAACAGATAATTAAGAAATGTATAACTTTATAAAACTCGAATAAAAACTATACAAATTCAAAAACTCACATTTCAAAAAGATAGTGGTATTTTTGAAGAGGATCTTTCCAAAACTAAAATAATTTTTTCCCTGCAAAGATAAACACAGGAAAGATAATTAACATGAGCTTGCTTCAATTTCCAACACAGAATCACTACCTAAATTCATACAATACTTAAATGGGTTTTCTAACAATATGAACATCTCTCCGTTTAGTGGAATTCTACATCCAAACTCCAAGATTTGCCCAAAATAAACAATCATTTTCATACATGCCTATTCTGAGCTTTACTCTAAAACTAAAAAGGCTTAAATTTTATTTTTTATTTATTTTTTGGTGCCAGGAAACAAACCCAGGGCCAGGCAAGAGCTGTGCTGCTGAGCTATATCCTCCGCCCTGGACTTAACTATTAAGCCTTGTAGTAACAAATAAATACTTAAAACTGAGAAACTTAAGTTCTTCAAGCTAAAGCTTGCCATATAAATTTACAACCAGTAAGCAGAGGGAATGAAACAAAAATACCAACATGGTTACACTTCCTATCTGCATCTGGTTTTTATCCGAAAACAGGAATAGTTTACTCAAATGAGTTTTAAAAAGTGAGAGATCAAACTTTACATTACAGAATTGTTTCTTCCATGTTAATCATTCCCGTGGTAAAATGTATTTTCCTTATGCTTCCTAATACCCACACAAGCAAGTCTTAGAACAATCATTTCAAAGTTTAGCCGAAATCAAACCATCTCGAAAGTAAAAGTATCCAGAAACAAATGAAATTGCAGAGTGAAAAAGGGGGAAATAAACTATTTACACAGCCCCCGTCCAACCTAGGGTCACTGGGTTCTGTGACAATTCGTCTTAAAAACAAGCCATTATCTCTAGCAGCACATCTAGTTTAAATCTATCTGTACTCTCAAGTCAGGCACTGAAAGTTCCCATAACTTTCCTGATGAAAAACCGCTCCACAGCTCCTTTCCGCGGCAGAAGTGGCCGGGACATTCCTCCCAGCTACCCACCACCAGCGCGACATTCTGCTTCAGGGCTTCAGGGAGGTGGGGCTCAGTCTAGCCGCTCACACACAGTCCCGGAATCCCACCCTCTTTGGAAGCGACTTCTGCTGAACCTTCATGGACCCCTTGGAGCGCCGTAGCCCCACTTTCCGCTTCTCCCGACCCGCTCGCTGCTGTGACACTCACCGACGGTATTGGAACGTGCCACTTGGATCGGTCAGCAGCAGCCACGACTGACGGTTTTTCTTTAGAAGAAAACAAGCGGAATGGATCAGTCCCCAGAAGCAGAATGACAGGCAATAGCTGAAGCCTCACAGCCGACGCCATCTTCAACAGACTCGGCGTGCCCACGGAAAGCACTTCACCTCTTCCGTTTCGTCCGGCCGCTTCCGGCCCTGCGCTGAGGGCGGATCATCCGGGTCCTCAAACTTCTCCGGGCAGGTTTGTTTTGCTTCCCTCCCACAATCCTCCGGGCTCCGCGCGAGACTTTTAACCTACTGCGCAGGCGTCATCCTGTCAACTTGGTCTGCAAGGTTAGGATGATCTCCGGATGCCAGTGCAGCCTCAAGTTTTTCATCTGCCTCCTGTTCCTTAAAAAGTTTGGGGACCAGGGTACCGCTTAGGGCAACGTTCGCCCCTCTCCTCCGGCTTGCCTCAGCTCCTCACCCCTTCCAGGTCAGAGTCGGACGCCCGGGATCAGAAGTCACTGCTAGAGAAGCAGTGACTCTGGCTGCCCGGTGGGCGTCCAGTAGTGAGGTGTCCGGTTGGGGAACTATTTAAAGCAGAAGCCAGAGTTTGACAGTGTGGAACTAGAAACGACTCTCTAGACTGGAAGGTGTTAACAGATAACCTTCAAAGACCCCTTCTCAACCTGAATAGTAGGAAGCTGAGGAGCATTGGCCCTTGACATCTCTAGCAATTCCTCAGGCCGGCACTTCCCACTCAAAACTAAACACGTCCTGTGGCGGCGTGGCCTGCGGGACATAACCCAGGGAGGCACTCCACTCGGGGAGGCAGCCTCGGTGCGTCCTGACGCTCAGCTCTCGCCTTTTCCCTTCTAGGGTTTATCACGTCTGCGCTTACTTTGCTCCAGGGATTCATAATAAAAGCACTGTCTACATCTTCCACCCATACTCAGAAAATTTTACCAACTATAATCCTGTAGAAACGCTAGTGTGAACCAGAAAGAAAAAAAAAAGAGTAAAGCTTGTTACTTTATATGGAACCAGAGAGGACTCTGTTTCCCAGAAATATGACAAAGGTAAAATGCTGATCATAATTTAGGGAAACAGCTCCGTGGATTTAAAAAAAAGATTGTCAGAGTCCTTGTCCTGCGAGCTGGGAGCCAGAAGGAGTGACAAGGAAGCCATGGAAGTGCCAGGGAAAGAGGAAATCAGGTAAAGACCGAGTGCTGGGACCCAAATGATCTGAGGACAGAACTGAAAACAATCTTCTTCCTTGAGTTTCATTGATTTTCTCCCCTTCCCCCTGATTCTGGGAATCGAACTCAGGGATGCTGTATAGCTTAAGTTACGTCTGCATCCCTATTTACTTATAGAAATGATCTTGCTAAATTTTCTAGGCTGGCCTGGAACTTGAGTGCTTCCTTCCTCCCCCTCTGAAATAGCTGGAATTAACCATGTGCTACCACCCTGGCTCATTTTTGTTTTGGTTTTTCTCTTTTGTTTTGTTTTTGAAACAGGGACTCGCTATATAGTCCAGGATGGACTCCAACTTGCAGCAACCCTCCTGTCTCAGTCTCCTGAGTACTGGGATTACAAGTGACACCTTGCCTGGAGAGTTGTTTGGATTTTGTTATTACTGTCATTGCTTATTTTTATTGTGTTTCCTATTTGAATATTTAATATTTGTGCATTGTATTGTTTTTTACTCTTCTGCAGAGTAGTTAGTATGAATAGCTATCCTCTCAAAAAATTCTTTTGGGATTGTAAGTAGCACTGACAATGGCCATGACTCTAAGGTGAATTCCAGCATGTGGCTTTCCAAGTTCAGCTACTTCATTTCAGAGCTCAGTTCCAAAATTGGAAAAAGGATACTGCAAGGTTGTCTAATCTTTGCACACTTGATTGAAAGAAACAGTGGTAAAAACTGAGCCCATTGAAGCTTTAATTACTTTCATGATAAAGTTATTTTAGGATAACCAACTGTATCTCTCCGGGCTTGTTTTTGTGTATCAAAATTTGTATCCAGTCATAGCTTCCTACAAAATAATGATCATGCAGACTACAGATGTATTCAGTCATACCTATGTGTGAAAGCCAATGTGGTTTTTTAAAATTTTCCTTAGGGACTAGTTGTTTTAGTCATATGGAGGCTAATTTGAATACATATATTCAAAGAGCAATGTACACCTTGTTTGAGTTTTATTCCAGAAACATTTCTGAAAACTTGTTTTTAAAAAACATTGACTTCTAAATTGTCAGTGTTATTGAAAAAAAAGCAAAAGATCTTCTGCACTGGTTAACTCTTGTTCTAGCACCTTACATGTAACTTTCAAAGTATTCATCAGCTAATATTGGCTGGTTGCTGGCTAGGCTCCCAACGAATGTATGTTCTGAAAAATATGTTTTCCACTAAAATGGTGAGTAGGTTGTTGGGGTTTGGTTTAGGTTTATTTGGGATAGTCCCTTGTTCTTTGCTGTTTCATTTATTACTGTTGCAATCATTGTAAAAAGGACATTTCTTCATAAGTAACAGTACTCTTTCTACCCTCTTGGAGTAATCCTAGGACTTGATATTTTTAAGGGAGGGTATCAAAATACTCACTATGCAGTTCAGGCTGGCCTTGAGCTTACTTTGTAGCCCAGGCTCTACAAGCTTATTTTGTATGTAAAATTGCATTCACGAACTCTGTGTTATATATATAGTACCAGGAATTGAACAGTTGAACTCAGGACCTTGCGCTTGCCAGGCAGGCACTGTGCCACTGAGCTATATTCCTGATTCCTAAAGAATGTCTCTTAAAATCTCTTTATTTAGTGTTGAAGATGAAGCTGTGGATAAAAGCATTTTCAGAGACTGCAGCAAGATTGCTTTCTACAGGTATGGAAACTAAACATATCAAACAGATCAAAACATTTCTGACTATATTTAAAAATTAATGGTATTAAATTTTTGAAAACTAGACAGACTTTCTAAGGAAAAGGGCAGTTAGGAAATATGATTGTCTATTTGCCATTCCAGTATTCATCTTATGTTTTACTCTTAGTACTTCTTTGCTATCAGAAAAACTTTTTCTTAGTTCAATTGTTTTGAAACGTTTAATTTTTAATTAATTAGTATTTAATTTTCTGAAAATTACTTAATCTTAACTTTTGTTCTAAGATTTATACTGTATCTTTGACTTACAATTTATTTAAAAGACATCATATGGTATATTCTCCTAGTATTAGAAACTTTAAAAAGTAAAAATATAAAAATAAAAATAAACACTATTAGTACAAACCTTTTTTCTCATTGAACTAAGAGAAACTAGCTGTATATCTATCCTAACTATTTTGTATATTTCACTACAAAATAGTCCTTCATTTATATCCCCACTTTTTGTTTTGTTTTGTCAGAGATGGGTGTTCCATTGCCATTCAAATATTGTAGGTGCGTGAATTCAGCAAAATAACCCAATATAGTCCAGTAGTCCATAATAGTAGTGGTTATCAGTGCTAAGACTTTTAAATTTTGCATTCATGATTGTTATTGATTCATATTTTTATTGCGTGATCGCATACTATTTAGGGATATAGAAAAAATTAGAATCAGAGCAATTGCATACTGTTATTTATGTGTGACCAGGAGCAAAACTATGCTTTTTCCAACTAGAACCCATAAATAAATAAATAAATACCATATAATACAAAAAAAGAAAGAAATTTAATGATTAAGGAAATTGTCAGCTAGGAGGCTCACTTTTTAACCTTACATACTTATTACTATGTGATTTAATTTTTTAGGGCTGGGGAGATAGTTCAGCAGCTTAAGTGCCTTACTGGCAAGCACAAAGTCCTAAGTTTGATCCCTGGTGCCAAAAAAAAAAAAAACACAACACCTTAATGAATATGTTTTATTTACCAAAACATTTTAAACTAATTTTTGAATTCCGTATATTTGAATAGATAACAGATTTACATAGTTCAAAAATAATTTTAAGAGACATTAAAAAGATTAGTCTCATCTCATTCCCTTCAATCCAATTCCTCAACTTGTTCCTGCACTTGTAAGGAACAAGTATTAACTAATTTATTCTGCCAGCATTTCTTTTTTTTAAATTAATTTTATTGAGAAAGAAGTAGCAATGAGACAGTTTCAAAACAGTTTAGTAGGACAATTACAATAATTTATACTTTTTTTTTTGCGGAACCGGGAATTGAACTCAGGCCCTTGCGCTTGCCAAGGAAGCACTTATTCCACTGAGCCATCTCCCTGGCCCCCTGTACATTACATATTGTTGTCTTCATAGTGGATACTCAAAAGAGAGCTGAATTGAATTTTTTTTTTGCAGTACTGGGAATGGAATTTAGAACCTTGCACTTGCCAGGCAGGCATTTATGCCACTGAACTATCTCCCTAGTCCTAGCATTTCTTTTTTTAAAATACATATTTTTTATATCATCTCCTTTCTTATAGCTTTCCTTTTGGGGAGCAGTGTCAGAAATTGATCTGAGGACCTCACACTTGCCAGACATGTGCTGCACCACTGAGCTAAGCCTCTGGCCCCCTAAATAGCTTTTTGTATACTATGTTCTATACATGAGGGATTTTTTTCTGCTTTGTTGCCTTCTAAAAAGCATTGTATCTGAGTACTCTCTGCCATTTTTGTAGCTGAATAGTATTCTGTTTGATGGATTAATATAATTTATTCTGTCTCTCTGGCTAGATCCTTGGATTATTTTTAATCTTCTGCTAGAATAGCAAGGTAATAATGAAGAACTGCGTATGTCATTTCCTACACCTGTAGATGTATTTATAAGCTAGATTTCTGGGACTGTTATTACTGGATCAAAGACAAAATGTAGAGCCAGGCAGAAGGCTGAGGGAGGAGGATCTCCAAGAGTTCAAGGCCAGCCTAAACTGCATAGAGAGACCCTCTCTCAAAAAAAAAAAAAAAAAAAAAAAAATAAGAAAGAACATCTTTTTAAAATGTCTGGGGCCGAGGAGATGGCTCAATAGAATAAGCGCTTCCCTGGCAAGCGCAAGGGCCTGAGTTCAATCCCCGGTTCCGCCAAAAAAAAATAAATAAATAAAATGTCTGCTTGTCTTTGATCCTAAAGTTGAAATAATCAAAAATTGATTATATATTTGATTTCATGTATTTTAACTTCCCTATTTATTCTCTGCTCTATAAGAAGAAAAGCTTATTATTTCAATTCAATACCAATACCTTAGAGAGAAGTTTATAGTGAATGCCTGGTGACCTTGTAAAACAACTATATTATACTGGACTTTCACTGTGAAATCTATTGAGTTACTACTAAAGTGTCCATTTAATGAAAGGAGGAAGAAAAACAAGTTCATGAATGTCATCTTTGAAAACTACTCCACCTTCTCAGTAAAGCAGAGAGGTTTCCATCCTTGAGCAGTGTTATATTCTAATTTTTCATTTGTTATTAGTTCTAATTTTATTAGAACTGTAATAATGTAGTAATCTTAGTACTTTATGAGAGTATAATCTATGCCCGGTTCATATTTATTGTAGTGAATTTTAATGACTTCCACATAATAATAGTCTATTGGATGCTGCTGACAGTGACAAATGCTCCTCGCATATGTATATGCTTCTCGTCCACAGGCGTCAGAAACAGCAGCTCTCCAAGAATTTCACCTATCGAGCATTATTAGACTCAGTCACAACAGACAGAGAGAGCACCAGTTTCCAAATCATCAATGAAGCAACTAAAGTAAGATAGAAGATATTTCTAACATACCTTAACCTTTCAGAGTACTTTTTTCTGTATTAATTGGAGTTGAATGATGTAAATTTAATAGCTAATTAAAACTGTATGGTTCAATTCAAATTGTGCTAGAGGGAATGTCATCTTTTTTATACCTATTTAACAATACTTTAATAATAATATGAATATTAGGGCTGGCCAGATAGCTCAGTGGATTAAAGTGCCTGCTTAGGCAAGTGCAGGGACTGCGGTTCGATCCCTGGCATGCTGTGCTGGCACCGCCCCCAGGGTGCGCTGAGACAGTGATTGAGACTGGATGTGGTGGTGCACACCTGTGTAATCCCAGTGCTTGGGAGGCTGAAAACAGGAGCAGCACTACTATGAGTCCAATCTGTGTAGTGAGACCCTGTAGACCCTGTACTAAATACATAAAATAATAACAATAATAATATATTAATATAGAAATTGCCCATGTATCAGATGTGTTTCTAGTTGATTTACAATGTTATTTCCTTTTAATTAGCTTTCATAATACACCAAGAGGTACATTGTATTATTCTCAATTACCAGATATGGAAAGTGAAATCTAGAAAGTTACTGGCTAAAGTTACACAACTAGTAACCACAGTATCCTCCTGTATCTGTCAGACTGCATCAAACACCCATGTACTTTCTACCACTTTACAATATACGGTTGCACCATGCAGCATGAGTAAGGAACAGAAGATTCAGTAACTGTTCAGACTTCACAATGTGGGTGGTAAAAGAACAGATAAATGGACTGTGCAGTAAAAAACCTAAGTCACAGGTATTCCATCTCCTGAGTTGCTTTACTAAAAGATCCTTATGATTATTATGTTCCAAAAGGGCCACAGTACCATGTCTTAAGTACTTCTTCCTCTCCTGTCAGTTTTTCATACTACTTCAGATGAGCCACAAAGATGAGCCAATCATAAAGGAAGTGTTGTGAGCTATGCTGAGAAGTATGGCTGTGCGCAATTACCTGATACTTTCAACCTGACCTTCACTTCCAGGTCCTTACCCATTTTCTAAAGAGATTTAAGCCTGTGGGGGCCCCTCAGAGCAATATGAATTAACTGATAATTCTTGTAATTGAAACATAGTTATGGTTATGTGGTCTGGGTTTCCTAACAGTTTAGATAATAACTCAGCCAACTCACTAACACATCTCAGTTCTGAGATCCTAACTTTCATCTGAAAGCTGTAGCTCCCAACCTATAATGCTCTACTTAGTAATCTCATCAGAGAATTCTCTGTAACATTTGGAAGACTTTTAATTTAGAAACTATTTAGGATCAGCAGAAGCACATGGCTTTTGGAAATGCAGTGAACCCACCAGAGGGTTTTCAGGAGACTTTATTTCTGCCACCAGACATCAGAAACCTTCTTGCCTTGTTTTTCTGGTCATTTTATTGTTTTTCTTCTTGTTTCTGTGGTGCATAGCCCTAGAGACTTGTAGTGTTTGTGGCCAGGATAAGAATCTTCATCTGGGGGCTGGAGAGATGGCTCAGTGGTCTAAAGCACCTACTTAGAACAAGCTTAGCAAAAGCATCAGGAACCGCGGTTCAATCCCCCAGCACCACATGC